TCCCCCCCAGCTGACTGAAAGAGGGCAGGGGAAGCCCTCTTTCACCCGGACCAAGCAGAGCAGCACCCATCCTCCTACCCTTGAAAGTGGCAAAATACCAGGTTTGGTCAGGATCTGCTGTAGGCACTCTATCTACTCCTTTCTTGGGGGGCTGGGAAGGAATTTTTCCCTCAGTGCCAGATTGACCAAGGCAGAGTGTGGGGGTGTTATTTCACTTTTCTCACAGCAAGTTTGGGCGGGGCTTAGTTGGGTCGAGCATGGAATGGGGGTTAGGCTATGATGTCGCAACTCATTCTGTAAATGTGAGGCAGATATCCAGTGCAGGTGCTCCGTAGGGAAGGGATACAGTGATCAGATAAATGGTTTGGTAAAGGATTTAAAGGAGTATTTGTTAAAAGAGCAGAAACAGGGAGGTTTGTGGCTTCTGTGACTGGATCGGCAGGGAGACGACCTTCCCCTCCTCCTTTATAGCCCACCTTACCCTTCATTTGAGGGGGCGGGAATGGTAAGGTCCCAGCAGCGTGTTGGCAGGGGACCAGAGTGGGGAAAAAAAGGAGGGGAAGCCCCTCCTTTGGAAGCCCCCTGGGTAGATATTGAAATGATCATGGAGTTACCTACACAGTACACTATTATCTGCCAGGTACTCCCAGACAGTTGTTAATAAAGTTGCAGCCTAATTAAACCACATCCAGTGTCTCCTGGCCTTCTTTCGGTATAGTTGGACAATTAGTTATTTATTTTGCCCTGATTTTAATCTCATAGTGATAGAAGCTATTGTTCTGTGATTATGTGCTTGATCTGTGGCATACTCTTCCTCCAGCTATTAGAAACTTTCAAACTCATTCTGCATTTGTTGTTGCGTTCAGTTGTTCAGCCTGTATTGTAGAAATATACAGGACTTCACAGGTTCTAGGTGACTCATTAAATACTGTATATGGTATAATAGTCATGGGCAGCAAGTACAACTCAGGACAGTCAGTCCATGCTAATCGCCATGTCTGGATTTTAATCTTAAAGATAAAAACGAACCCAAATTTTGAGTTGCTTTAATTTTTTACTTTGAAAGTGTCCATTTTAAGAGAAATTTTGCTTCATGTTAGAAATGCATTGTCACTAACTAGTAGAAATATAGGCTTAGATTTTCAGAGGGGCCTGAGCGAATTAGGTACCCAACTGTCACTGAATTTCAATGGGGAGTTGGGTGCCTAAAGGCTTGTCTACATGATGGGGTAATGCGCTATATGGGAATGTGATTTCTAAAGCATACTAACATGTTGCGCATGAATTGATCCATGTTGATACTGCTAGTGTGCTTTAATGTGTTTGAAGTAGTACATTAAAGCACTGTAATGAAACTTTCGTGCACACCAGCAGGGTCTACATGACCTACTGATGAATAACACATTATTGCAGTTTAGAAATCATACGCTACTAGAGTGAATTACCCCACTGTACAGACAAGTCCTGACTCCCTTTTTCTTCTTTAAATAGTTCACCTGTATTGATTTAAAATGAAGTTGCTGAGTCACCAAACTGCAGTGAGAGAAATGACTGAAATTTGAATTCTTTCACCCTGTTAATTCTCCATTTCCTTTGCAACTTAATTCTGTTCACTGCTTGCTGTGCATTGCTTGTTTCCTGAAAATCTGATAAACATGTTCAATTCTTATGTACAAGGTATTATGCTACTGTATGTTATAGCAACACTCTCTATTTAAAGTTATGGATCAGCTTGCATAACTCCTGCTTTCAGTAATTTGTAACTTTCTGGAAAATTATTAATTAGGGTTCTGGTTTCTTGGTCCCAAAATAAATTTTGTATGTGTGATATTTTATGTGTGAAAATTGTTTAGCCATTTTGTGGTATCCCAGAATGGAAGAGGTGTGTTTTTTTGTTTTTGTTTTTTTTCCCCCGTCACATCCTGAGGTAATTTTCAAACAATTTAATTTTAGAACTTCATATATACTTGACACATTATCCCCAGTTATTGCAATTTCCTATACTTAGTGAAGAAATTTGACTTGGAAATAGTGAAATTAATTAAAAATTTAGAAATAATGAAATAAATTTGAAAACTGCATGCATAGACAGGACTCCACCAGGGCTGCTAATCTCAAGATGACCAGATGCAGTGTTTCAGCTGTACACAGTGGGCTAAATTATGGCCAGGAGTAGGTGGATTCAACTCAGTTGATTTTAGTGGATTTATACCCTGCTGGAAAAAGATGCCCAAATCCGGAGTGCTGCAGACAGGAATATATAAAAGTGTATTCATTTTCATGATTAGGTACTCAAATGTCTGTGTATATATGTGTGAAAAGATATGAATTGTACATAATACTTGAAGCAAATGTAATACATTTATATAAGCCTGTAATAATTTCTGTAAACACGTATTTGAAGCTTCGGATATATGCAAATGCTGTTATGGGTCTTTCTAGAACTGGAGCCTCCCTGAAGATCAATGGGGACTGATCAAAACCCAGAGACATAAATACACACAAGGCTGGGGGAAAGTTGCAATTCCTATTAAAACTATAATTAAATTTTGACTTAATATATTATAAAATCTTAAATGTAATTATTTTATCATCTTAGATTTAAAATTCCTTATTAAACTAGGTGTCATATTCAATTTATGTATTTGTAGGATTATAATTTGTGTGCATTTTCAGTAGAAATCTGTCCAGTATTCTTTTTAAAGTTTCCTGCAGCTTCATATATACCCTGGAATAAGAACCTTTACAAATGTAAAATCAGCAGAAATCTTACTATTACTTTTTAATTGCACTGGAAACAGTTTTATTTTTAATAAAAATGGTCTTCTCATACACTATTTGCAACTCATAGACTGCGGTATTGTGCATTTGACTGACAGTATGAAAGTCTAACCTGTTTTCATAATCAAAGCTGAAAAAATGCAATATGTATGTATTAACAGTGAAAAATAAATGTAGAGTTGAGTTTTAATAATCAGCTACTTCTGGTATCCTAATTTAAGAAGTTTTAGGTGGCTATTCATCATGTTTAAAAAAAAAAAAAAGTTAAAAATTGGCTTCATCTATAGCCTGTTTTTTAATACTATTTTGAAGTTACGTTGTTTCCCTGAGTCAGAATCCTCAGTGTTAACCACTACCATTAACATTTATTTCATGCAGCATTAAGTTTATAAAACTTAATCTTGTGATTAGATTAATGGGTCTAACAGTTTCTTTAAAAAATGCTGATGTCTACAGTTACATTTTTAAGACACTAAGAGTTAAATCAGTGTCTTTTCTTAGTTAGAACTGAAGTGTATTCTCCCAGTTCTTGTGTGAGGACTAAGTACTGTTTCCATGGAAACTCATGGAATAGTGTGTGTTTCTTCACTGCCCTTCCTCTTGCATTCTGTTTTGCTTACATATCCATACACAGAAGTATTCTTAATCACATTCTCTTATAATGGTAGTTGAAGGGAAACAAGCATGTTAGAGAAAATTTTCAGATATACAATTACTGATATTTTCTAGGTTTTTGATTGTAAATGAAAGTAGAGGTTTAGTATTGCTATATGTTTTGGTTAAACAAAAATATTTCTGAAGTCATACTGTCATTAGGAAACTAAAGTAAACCCTAGAATGCTCAGTGTTTTTACATCAGCTGTCGCTATAAATGCCATTTGGAAAAACATGTTTGCTCTCATATGATAGAGAATGTCTCTTCCCCCAGGAGATTTTTTAAATATAGCTCATTTTATAGGGAACATTTTGCCATTCAGTGTACACCAAGGTTAAATAAATATGAAAATTCCTGAAATAAAAGCAGTGCTGTGATATTTTTTAGAAATGGCAGGTTCCAGTGAAGAAATATCTTTTAAATTGGCTTATATCATTGTTATGAAGCTGTGTGTCAGCCTCACCCATCTTGTTTATGATATGAACTACAGGTTTGTTTTTACGTGCATTACAGGGTCTGGATAAATCCAACTTTTTCTACTAAATGAATTACAAAATGGTCACAGTTTGCTTCTGGAATTCTTTTTAATAAAAAAAATAAATTAAACACCAAGTGCAGCACATTCTGTATTGAGAATATTTTAACTGTTAGCTGGAGATGAGTTTCTAACTTGACTGAACAAAAGACAAGTCCTTGTATTTTTTGGGTGTGTGAGAAAACCCTCAAGCAAAGTATGGCTATGAAATTTTTAAAGGGTTGCAATTGTGGCTGCAGATATTGTGTGTGTGGGAATGAATTTATATGTATGAAGAATTTTCACCTTTTCATCTGGCAGTGGCTACCAGAAGATGATGTCACCTTGAAGCTGATTGGTTGTTTCAGCACCTAGTGCAGGGAAGAGAGAGAAAGATGCCGGCACAAATCTCAGTGGTGGAGCTATGGTGTTTTCTGACAGTTTTGGATAGAATCTTTGATTGGTATTGAGAATCTATTGTGTGTGGCCATGTGAGGTATTGGGAGCATCCTAGTGTGAGGGGAATTAAGAGCTATCAGAGGAATGAGGCGGTTGATCTGCAAGCGGATCTGTGATTGTAAGTTGCAAGATCTGGGTGGAAGGAATGAGACAGGGAGTGTTGGTAGACACATTGTGGGAGGATGTGTAGCAGAAAATGCATGCATGAGTAGAGGAAAAAGGAGAAGCATTGCTCTTGGATAGCCTGGAATGAACTGAATATTATATTCATTTTTGGGAAGATGATGGACAAGAAACATTTAACCTGTGCAGAGAATTTTTCTTTTTGTGATGAATATGTAGGATTAATTTTTGTGTTTAATATGATGATGATAATTGCAAATCCAAAGGCAGTATTGTATACAATCTTGTGGTGTTAAAATGCTTTTTATTTTTATTTTTCATCTGTTTCCCATGCCATAGACAAAGGGCAAAATTAGTATTGATTTTTATTTGATCTTCTGGTAAATTTCTGTGAAAAGTGCAGCAGAGCAATTTTTTAAAAAACCCTCTGTTCTCATAAGTAAATTTCTTTTATGTATCCTTTTGTAGATAAAAGCTTTGATGATGAGGAGTCAGTGGATGGAAATAGGCCATCGTCAGCTGCCTCAGCTTTCAAGGTTCCTGCACCTAAAAAACTCGGGAATCCTTCAAACAGTGCAAGAAAACCAGGTTCAGCTGGTGGGCCTAAGGTTGGAGGTAATATAAATCTACTCACACTCTCATATGCTTTTCCAACCACCCTGACATAGCGAGCACAAATCAAAGAACTTGGGAGGATGATTGTTTATTATATACAATTAACAAAGCTTTATTAATGAGTCCTTGGTTTTGCTTATTCGATGGATGCAGTACTTTAGCTGCTATATATGTGGGTATGTAAGCATACGGTTAACACATAAAGGGCTACAAATGTTTTGTCTGTCATAGAATGGGTGTCATAAATCAAATGAACATGTTGAAGGTGGGAATCGGATTGATGAAAGCTTTGAATAAATGTGTGGGTCTCTGATAACTTCCAGGATAACCAATTATTGCAAAAAACATGTTTATAAAATCTGCAATAGATTTGTAGAATTCAAGTTGTAATGGAGGCCCACTCTTTTTTCAAATGGTTGAAGAACCTTGATGTACCTCAACAAAACAGAGGGGTGTGGGTATCTAGTACACCTTTAGAGTTTTTTGCCTTCTTAAACTGGATACAATAACTATGAAATATATTGAAAAACAGAAAAAGCTGGGCAATATATGAAACGGTTACCATGATTTGTGTAATAGAAATAAGCAGTACATAGCGTGTTCTTATTATGTATGTAAGTTAATCATTTTGGTTAGAGAAATCTGTTTGTGATCTGTGGTATCAGACTCATTGCGTGGAGTTCATTCTAATTCTATATCTAAGATCTCACCAGAAACTTAATTATTACTTTTTTTCAACGATTTTCTCTAAGAATAAAAGTGAATATTTACTGCCAGAAGGATGACAGTTGGCATATTTGCCCACTCATGTATTCAGCAAATGATATAACATTTGCTGGTTTGCTGGTTTGAAGAACCTGAAAATTAAAAGGATCTGATTTCAGCCTGCTGAGGGTGAAATTTTTTTATTATACCAGTCTTTATATATTAAAAGCTATGAATAGCTAATTATTTTTGATAGTGATTTTTTTAGATATGCATCACTGTTTTGTTTGCTGGAACCTGTCTGCGAGATTTTTTTCAATTCTAGGTTGCTCATCTAACATTGTCTGTTAAATGTGAACAGCCCAGTGAAAACGAATTAGCACAGATATATGTATTACGTATACTCACCAACCAAGTTGTGGGGTTCATTAGCATACCAATAAAATACAGCTAATATATATCTTGTTCACTGAAGATATTCCCAGAAGGTGATGTAATATAAGTACTGGCATAACAGTTCAATTTATGATGATGTCAGAGTGAACCAGGAAGTACATAAACAAAAGGATTTCACACAACTTGTTTTATTTTTTAAAGTTGCTTAATATTGACTTTTTTTGCTGAATACCTTTCTCATCCTGGTTCTTTTGGACATTTAGTACGGGTATCTAGACTTAATTAAAAATTTTAATTTTGCTTTGTAGGTCCCTTTTATGATAAACTGATTTTTAAAAGGATCAGGATTGTACATTAAGAGCATTGGACTATTCCCCCCCCCCCCCCCAATGTTACATAGATGAATTTTTGAGATTCAAAATTCCCTCCGTTACAAAGTAGGCAAAGTTCTTACCAAGCTTTTAAAATTTTAATTCTATTAACTGTAGCCACTCTACTAGTATAATAAACCGTTAACCACTCTACTAAACTATCTAAAACTTCATCACAGAAGAAATATTAACTATAAAATAATAAATTTTAAATTGCTGAAACTTTATTTTGCTTACTTTCTTTTCCTGATTGACTGCCACACTTTAAAAAACAAGTTTCAGGAAATTAGACTGTACAAAAGTAATTGCACTAGTCTAACAAAATTGAGACGTCAAAAATAAATGTTACTTTGCTTTATATATTTGCCCTTCCTATCAGTCTACCCTTTTCAGTTCTGGAAACATTAAAGGTGTGTGTTTCTTTCTCTTTCTATATAGATTTAGCCAATTCATTTATTTATAGATTTAGCCAATTCACTTATAGATTTAGCTGTAGTCAAGGTTTTGAATATGTTTAAAAAAAATTTAAGCTAGCATATTTGATGGAATAACTTATTCTCTCAGAGAAAGATTATACAATTACTGTAAATGCAAAAATATTCCTAGTATACACATACTGTTTCCCGTTCATTTCAGGCTGGTAAAGATCACAGAGGTTCTTGGCTTTTTTTTTGTTTTGTTTTGGTTGGGTCTTGTTTACTGTAATCAGGCTAAGGATTTCTTGTCATCTTCGTTATGCAAAAAGGAAGTGTTGCCTCTAAAAGAAGAAAATTAGCCCTGGTCTACACTACAGAGTTAGGTTGATGCAAGGCAGCTTATGTCAACCTACCTCTCTAAGCATCTACGGTAAAATGTTGCTCCCGCCAATGTAACTCAACCATTATGCCGACTTAATAACTTTACCTCCACGAGAGGCATAGCACTTAGGTCTTTGTAGTTAGGTTGATGCTGTGTCAGGTTAGACACTGTTATTTATGGCGACTTTAGTGGCCTCCAGGAGGTATCCCACAATGCCCCATTATGACTGCTCTGGTCACGGTTTTGAGCTCAACTCTCTCCTTTTAAAGCCTCTCAAATTTTAAATTCCATTACCTGTTTGCTCTTTGTGGAGAGCTCACATAGCAACTGCCCAGCTGACCATGCCAGCTCCACGTAGCAACGCGCTCCTACCTGGAGTACACAGAGGTGGTGGATCTCCTGGGTTTGTGGGGAAAACAGACTCTGCAGGCACAGCTCTGATCCAGCCATAGAAACACCAATATCTATGAGCAGATCGCTCAGGGTATGGGGAGAAGGGCTACAACAGGGATATGCAGCAGTGCACATGAAAATCAAAGAGCTGCAGCAGGTGTACCAGAAGGCAAAGGAGGCTAACAGTCACTCTGGAGTGGAGCTGAAAACATGCTGCTTCTACAAGAGACTGCATGCCATCCTTTGTGGAGGCCCACTGCCTGTGGATACTTCGGGGTGCTGGCCCCTGTAGTACATAGTGAGGAGGTGGTATTGGACGAGGAAATGGAGGAGGAGTATGGGGAACAGGTTACTGGAGGATCCAGTGGTGCGGCAAGCCAGGAACTCTTTCAGATGCCGGAGCAGTCGAGCCAGTCCCTACTGTACAGCACTGGCAAGCCTGATGTAGGGGAAGGAACTTCTGGTAAGCATGCAGTTTGCTTTGATATTGCAGTTCATTTGCTATTTTTTAATCAGGGTAGAAGATGTAGTGAAATAATCAGTAGAGGAAGAGTTGCTATCTGCTTCTCGTTCCCCTATATAGTGAGGCAGAGTGGGTCCTGGGGAACAGTTTGTTTATGCACACTGGGATGTCCCATGAATTTTCCATAGAGATCTCAAGGAAACTTTCTTGGAGATAGTCTGCAATCCTCTGCTGAAGGTTTCTGGGGAGGGCTGCCCTATTTCTTCCACCGTGGTAGGACACTTTCCCAAGCCAGTCAGCAATTACTTCAGCTAGCACCGTTGCAGCACACAGGCTAGCAGCATATGGACCCGGTCTGCATCCAGAAGTGTGCAGGGGCTGTTCCCTTGCATGGGTTACCCTCAGGAGTGCGATACTAGCTAAAATCACCACCACCTGTGGAAAACAGTGCCAGTATTCAGTTCAGTTGCCCTATTCCACATATGCTGGTGCCCGTGTGCTCCCGCCCCACTTATTGTCCCAAATTGCCCCTTTCTCCTTGGGCCGTACTCACTATGGCTGGAACTGCCACTGTGCTCTATGAATCCCAAGCGGAAGTGAGTCTGTAGTACTAGTAACTTTTATGGATCAAGAAAGAGAACATGGGACTACATGTTCCAAGAGATCCTGCAAGCCTTTGCTTGGAGGAGCGCTCTTCTGGACAGAATGGGAAGGGAGAGTGCAGAGAGGAGAAATGTGCAGAAAAGGCATAGACGCAGGAAGACATGACAATGCTTCTCAAGTGCCGGACGGACATGCTGGAGACTCTTATAGTCTTCTGGTCTAAGTCACCTGTGGTGGTCATCTCCCACTGCAGTCTATTGATAACTGCATTCTGGGACCTCCCTGCCCATCCCACCCACCCCATATGTTCCAGGGCCGCTGCAGTACTGCTACCCCTCCACCCTGAGGAAGGAGTACAGACAATCCGAGCCGCACATATTTTGACCAGAGAGAGAGACTATTGGTGTATTGTTTGAAATGGGAACGAATGTTCTTTCCCTTTCAAAGGTTCTTTTCCCTGAATTTATATAGTTTCATTCAGTTACAGTTGTTTTTGTTTGCATATGTTTGGAATAAACGTTTATTTATGGAAAATTAATTCATCTTTATTAGTTCACAACATCAGGTGGCTGGAGCTGACATCATTAAAAGATAAAAGCAATAGGTGCATTCACAATATTATATTATCACACACAGAGCACTCTTTACAAGGTTCGTACCAGGGTGCTAAAAAACAGTGCCCAGCAGAGCACACTACAACAACAACACATTACTGTGGCTCACTATTGAAATAGTCTTTCAAAGCCTCCCTGAGCTTTATAGGTCCCTGTTGAGCTCTTCTTATAGCCCTAATATCTGGCTGCTCAAAATCAGCAGCCAGGCATTCCATCTCTGTGCTCCACCCTGGTGGAAACATTGTTTCACAGTTGTTATGACACGCACAGCAGGCAGCTATAACCATGGGGATATTTTTTCACTAAAGTCTAATTGCGTGAGTAGACTGTGCCAGCGCCCTTTCAAATGGCCAAAGGCACCTTCAATAGCCATTCTGCACCTGCTGAGTGTGTAGTTGAAGCGCTCCTTGCTGCTGTTGAGGTGGCCGGTCTACAGCTTCATGAGCCACGGCAATGAAGGGTAAGTTGGATTGCCAAGGATCACTATTGGTATTTCCATATCCCCAATGGTAATCCACCGGTCTGGAAAGAAAGTCTCTGCTTGCATCTTTCTGAATAGCCCTATGTTTTTAAAAATCATGCTGCATAATGCACCATCCCACATTGATGTTGGTAAAACATGTCTGGTGATCCACCAGTGCTTGTAATACCATAGAA